TTCATGCAAGACAGCCTTGTGGCCGAGGCACGACAATATATATAATTGAGCCTGTTGATAATCTCCAAGAGGTTTCCAAAATCATCGTATTTCACGAGGGAGAGTTGCACAGGGTACCGTCGACGCCAAAGCAATATTGCAATTCATAAAGCAATTCTATGACCATCTGGTTCGCGGGAAAAGCGCCAGTGAATCACTTCATGAAACGATGAAATAGATGAGAAGAAGTACTGAGAAGAGATACTGTCAAGTCGGCCGGTGGGCACCGTTTATCCAAATTGGGGACCGCGTAACATTTACAGTTGGAGAATCACACCTTTAAATTAATGACTCGAACTGTTGAGCAGATTCCGGCTATCGTTTCCGATTCGTCCAAGGTCATTATTTAGCACAGTTTCTCCGTTCTCCAATCACAGGTCAATACTAAAAAAGAGAACGCCTAGCTAGTTGGACTTAAAACAGTTTAATGATCTGATCGTATCTTTTGCAGCTTCCTTCACCTCTACAATCCTCCAGCAGTAAAGGATTGGGTTCAGAGATGAGTTTAGGTAAAGAAGCGTAATTGTGAAACGAAGAACTGCCATCCCTGATGCACTTTCAGGTATTTTGCCATATGAAAATAACATGAGCACAACACAGAAGGGGAGATAACAAACAAGCAATGTCAACTGTACCCAAGCTATGCCATAAACCGTCCTTTTATATCTTGCCATATTTAATGGAATTGTCGGTCTGTTTGGTTGTTGAACGTGGTTTTGCACCTGCTCTTGATAATGGCGCAGGAGAAGATAGATCTTAAAATACGAGAGAAAAGAGATTATCAAACACAGTACAAGAAAAACAATTAATGTGACCCGACAAACTTCTTCGCCCCATGAACTGTGTCGCCATACGCCTAATACACAAGAAATAAACCAAATGCCAATTACAATCTTTCGCACGCGCTTCAATGTCACAGTCTGTCTGTACCTCAGCCTCAACAATAGCGCGAGAAGTCTGTCCACACTTATTGCAGTTGATGTCAAGGCAGAGACCATCAACAGAATATAACTTGTAGTAGTATTTAATCGATCGCTGTAGTAGAATAGATTATTTCGTACGTTTGTTATTCTACCCGTAAGGCTTACACAAAAGAGCGGTTGCGAAGTTAGGCCAACACAAAGATCATTGATCGCCAGTGATCGAAAGAAGAGTTTCGTTGGTGGATAAATAGACGACACTTTATGAAGGGCAACTAGGATAAGAGTATTGGCCAGAGTTGAACTGATGGAGAGAAAGACGTTTAGGGCAGCCAAAAATACCACTATGCCTACAAGCGGTGGCTGTGCTACGTCTCCAGCTGAGCTGATGTTTGCCATTGATCTTGCTGCTGCTGCGGATCGGTTGCTTGTGTACAAAAACCTTCTGGTGGCAAATGAATAGAAGTTTACTGTCTCAGGTTAATTTAAGGCCTTCATGTAATAGCTAGCTTTAATTTCCAGGTTCTCTTGTGATTGAGGCGGTTAGTTTTCTTTACGAATTATATATTCACCTGTCAATGGACAAAGAATTCCCCAGTATTCTTTTTGTAAACACTTCTCTACGTTCTAACTGCGCAGTGACATTTAATTAGTCAATAAAAGATGAAGCTTGCCTTTGTCAATAAGACGTTGCTCCTCTTTTACCCCCGCAAATGACACGCAACGAATTGTTTCGTGCTTGGTGCAGTGTTAGGTTAGAACATATATATACGCTAATGGGACGAAAATGGATTTTTCGTCTTCATCGGTAGACGTTCAAATAGATAAATTAATTTTATTTTGCGAACAAGTTGGAAATTAAGAAAGCAGCAGGTTGTCTGTCATCTTTAAGTTATTTCAAATTTGTTCAAGAGAAAGCCAGATGTTTATGCTAGAAAGTTGAAAGACATTGGCTTCTTGCAAACTGCTTGCGCAACACATACGATGAGTAAAAACGGTCAGGTATATTTCGAAGCAAGGATGAATCTAACAGTCCGCGCTTTTCTTTAACTTTTTATCCACTACAAGAAGTTTTTTTAAAAAGAAATATAAACGCAATTTTATGTCACAAATTTGCATGAATTTGGATCTTAGAAACTGGGATGAATATATGTTTTGTTAGTAAAATCTCCAAAATATCGGTCCGTTTTACTTTGAGAACAGGGATGTATTTAGGAAAACGTGTGTTCTCTCGCATTTTGGAATGATCGTCGCACTATAAAATACCTGTCTCACTTTGTAATAAGAAAGCTGTCTCTCTTTTGCTATGACAGATCATCGCACATTTTGTTAAAGTACGCTATGGCATTTTGTA